CCTCAGCCAGCCTACGTGCTTCTTCTGCCTCAGCCAGCCTACGTGCTTCTTCTGCCTCAGCTAGCCTACGTGCTTCTTGTTCCTCAGCCAGCCTTCTTGCTTCTTCCTCAGCCAGCCTTCTTGCTTCCTCTTCAGCCAGCTTACGTGCTTCTTCTTCCTCAGCCAGCCTACGTGCTTCATCTTCAGCCAGCCTACGTGTTTCTTGTTCCTCAGCCAGCCTACGTGCTTCTTCCTCTTCAGCCAGCCTACGTGCTTCTTCCTCTTCAGCCAGCCTACGTGCTTCTTCTTCCTCAGCCAGCCTACGTGCTTCTTCAGCCAGCCTACGTGCTTCTTCCTCTTCAGCCAGCCTACGTGCTTCTTCTTCCTCAGCCAGCCTTCTTGCTTCTTCCTCATCCAGCCTACGTGCTTCTTGTTCCTCAGCCAGCCTTCTTGCTTCCTCTGCCTCAGCTGGACTTCGTGCTTCCTCCTCAGCTAGTTTAGGTTCTTTTTCTTCTTCTACCTTCTCGGTTTCTGGTTTTGTTTCTTCTTGATTTGCAGTATTTATTTTTTCCTTATTATTTGGAATGATTGACATTCCGTCTTTGTTAAAGGGGGTAGTATCAGTTGGGTACTGGGGTTGGTGTTTTCTTTCGATTTGATCCTCTTTGATTGGATTATCCGAATGAGGACTATACCACTCTGAAGTTGCGTTGAGAATATCGTATCGTTCATCACGTAGTAGGCGCCCTTTGGCAGCAATGAGGGCCATATCTTGAGTACATTTTGTTCGGATATCTTGAATTCGCTGATTCAATTGCTGTATTGTAGTTTCACTTTCACATCCGGGGAGACGACTGTACTCCATTAGAATGACTTGACAAGCAGTGAGACGTTTGTTAACGAGTTGTTCCCACCAGTTGTAGCAATTAAGAAAGTCGTTGGTGTGTGCAATTTGTTCTTCTAAACTAATACTTAAAAGAAAACGAGCCTCTGTGAGTGCCATATCCGATCTTGTATTAATAATGCTCACAGCCTCTGAGAGTCCGCGGAATAGTTCATCCGGTGGAAGAGCAGATCGCTGCTCATCTGTGAGACGTAGAAGTGGAGGTGGGGGATCGTTATTGGGGTCTTCAGTAGAGTCCCCTAGAGTATTCTTTATGATTGTTGAAGCTGCTGTATTGATTGTACTCAAAAAAGTGGTTAAACGGTCACCAATATTTGTAATACTAGGTATTGGTCCAAGCTGAGGCTCAGCTTGCTGTGAGTCATTCACTTCCTCACTCTTTGGTACTATTGTCTGTCGTACTGCTTCCTTCACATCGTTGAAAAAGCCCCACATGGTGATCACTTATCGGATATACAGTGCTAAAAACAGAATAAAAGCCGTTCAAAAAGTATGAATACCCTAATACAAAATATTTTTTAAAAAAGTACGAATCCTTTTTAATTGGAAATCATTACATGGGAAAGAAAAAAAGAAAAACAAAGAATAGATAGATGGGGTTAAAAAAAAAAAAGAAGAGAAACCGAGTAGTTTCTTAGTGCATTACATATGAAAAGAAAAAACCAGTTCTTTCTCTCGTTTTCTCTCCCCATCATCATGTTTGCTTTGTTCAAATTTGTGAGTAAAAAAACTTGAATATACCTACCTTTTTTTTTCTCTAGGCAGGGTACATATTTTCCTTATACAATCCATCTGGTCGCTGCAATGGATGAATTTTCGTCCCTTTAAGCATGTAGGTATACTTCCCCCATGGGAACTCTCCAGAAGGCTGCTCAAGTGTAGTTGGCATTGCTGGGCCTGAACGGAGATGTGGTAAAGCATAATAGCGTTCCATTGTGGCTGTTCGTAAAATACCACTCTCATGTAACTCTTTCCTAAATGTTTTTTTCTTATTTTGCAAGACAATATCTTTCGCCAGCATCTCCACATGCTGAAGCAATCCGTGAGGTACTACACCCACCTCCATCTCTCCCCATTCTAGCAACTGTGGAAGAGCATCATGAACTGCTTGAATAGTCCGCAATCCTGTGCGTTCTTCTATCACCTTTAAATAGGTTTCAATATCACCCTTTCCCCACACTTTCCCGGTATACTGGTGAATAAAAGGCGCCATGTAATGCAATGGGAAGTGACTCAGTGTGGCGTACTCCTGTCCGACCTCAGCGTAATAATTCCAGAGAGGCACTCCATCATTGGCGCCCTCTGAAGCGGCTGAGAAGGTTCTGCTGTACGGCGCCTCGCGGTGGTGGCGAATGGGATCATCTGTCCAGCGCGCCCACGGCCAGTGACGGTAGGCGCCGCGGCGGCGTAGTCGATTGTGCCACTCCACACCAGTGCGTGGATCCCACGTGTTGCCGTACTCCTCTGGGGATTTGTGGGCCAATGGGGAGAGCACGTGGGCGTTTTTGGGTGGTAAATAACGGGCACGGCGGCGGCGGTGGGCATACACCATCACACGGTTTTGATATCCCTTCGCACTGGAACCTAGTGCGGGTACAGTGGTGCGAAACGACATTCTTTTTTTTCTTTTCTTTTTTTCTTTTTCTTTTTTTTTTTTAAAAACGTCAGCGATTGTATGTATGATTGTTGCTATTTCGATTACTGATTATTCTCCCCCACCTCGTTGCGTATGTGTCCTTTCTCTCTCTCTCTCTCTCCTTGTGAGTATATGCAACTTCCTTCTTTTTTCCTTTTTTTTCTCTGTACAGCCTCCCCCAACGTACAATAAATGTCCTTCTATGATGGTGTGCTCCCTTTTTTTTTTTTATTGGGGAGAGCAGGCAGCTAGAGAAGGGATAAAGAGGCAAAGACGAAAAAAAAAAAAAAATAGATGTATATATATATACATATATAAGAAACACAGAAAGGTGTATGAAGGCAATACATGTACCCCTAAGTCCAGGACCAGCAAAGAAAAGAAAGAAAAAAAAAGAAAATAGAACAACTATGGATCGCACGTTATATATATTTATTTATTTATTTTACGTAGATTATACCGGAGACTGCTCGACATCCACCTAGCTTTTTTTTCCCCCGATAACACTTGCCTTAAAAGAATAAAGTGGGAAAAAGATGAAAACAGTACTTTATTTCCCTTCTTTTTCAATATTATTTTATTTCTTTTGTTGCCTTCTCCTCTCTGTTTTCTTTTTTGGATTTTTTTTTTTCTTAGTCCTACTGGAGTTCTGATCACAAAAAAAAAATAACAATAATAATAATAATCAACGAGAAGAAAACAAAAGGCAAATCTGCCTACAATTCTATTGTACGCCAAAGAAAACACGCAGTATCACTGGACAAAGGTATGTGACCATAAAGCCAACAAGAAGATATGAAATAAGACATCTTTGTGTTTCCCACAACCACCAGTGTCGATGTGTACATGGGATCCACAACTGCATATTATCTCCCATTAATACTTTCTCCTCAGAATTATGTTGTGGTATAGAAATCTCAATACTGTATCCCGCACTTTCCCCACTTTCACTACCTTCACTGAAACAATCTGCAGATGGACTCAATTTCTGATGTCGTTGCTTTTGACATCCTTCCTCTTGAATAGCAACACTAGGTGAATCATTTAATCGAATCCAATAAATACGACGCACGGCATGTGAAAAACAATACCACATGCGTCGCCAGAAACGAGGACGGTTTGGTGAAGCCTCTCGAGAAATTCGCACAAAAAAGAAACGAAGTATACGAAAAGTAACGCATGAACAAATTTCCTTTCCAAGAAGAATTACAAACAAACAGGAGAGATATTGTACTAAAAAACCAACGGAAAAGCAAGTATCCCATACATCTTCTGGATGTGAACGGGCTGTCATGACACCGTATTCGCTGTGAAAAACCCAATACCCAAAAAGAGCCCCAAATGTGGCTCCGAGAAAACGCAAACTATCCAAATAACATGGACAGGCATCTGCAGGGGCGGCGTGGGATATCACGAGTATATGTAAAATCAAAAAAGCCACCAAGAAATGCAAAGGCATCACATTATCTATTTCATACAAAGTAACCATAAATGATTCCAAAAAGGCTGCATGCGCAATAACAAGAATCAGACCCACAACCCATCCAGCCACCAAATCAGCAAACCAGTGCATTCCAAGAATCAATCTTGAAAGACTAACATTGATAGAAAAAACTATACAAAATATCCAGCATAAAACGGGGTAATCAGGAAAAAAAGTATGTAATAGCTCATACGATGCGTAAGCAAAAACAATGCTGTGGGATGCATGGGAACTTGGATATCCATACTCCTTTGATGCTAGTCTTCTTCCTCGGATTTGAACAGGTGGGCAAGGTGGACGTGGGCATCCTGCCATGTCTTTCATAACACCAGTTACGTATTGACTCATACACATTAATACACAAATATTAAATGAAATGAATGGCATACCCAACCACACTACCAGTGGGATGAAGGCAGTGTAAAACTCAATCTCACCAGTACAACTCCACACTTTAAAGTAAAAGGTTAACAATGGTTGTAGTCTAGGAAAACTATTTTGAATTTTCAAAATAATAGAAACATGATATTCATTACAGTAGTTTGACACATACCAGCTTCTAAATGGGATCCTTTCCCGTGGTAATTTTACGGCAGTAGGAGCAGAACTAGTGATAACACATTCAGTAAGAGCTGATGGATGATAAATAGAACGAGAGTTCTTTGTAGAAGTTCCATCGGGTTGCATTTCTGCATGACCCGAGTTAAAGGACATGTCACGATCACTATGCATTTATTACAGGCCTTTTTCTACTTCCCTTAATAATATAGAGAAACTTAGTTCTGTCGTCTCGTACCTCTGATGTTTCCCCCACTACTAATACTACTTCTACTACTAATACTAATACGAAAAGAACAAGAGCAAGGAGAAGAAACACAAAAGAAAACCAGTAGTAATAATACAGTTATAAATACGAAAAGAACGCAAATAAATAAATAAATAAATAAATAAATAAATAAATAAATATATACGTACACAGGAAAAAAAAAACAAAAAAAAAAAAAGAAAAAGATGCTTCTGTAATCAGAACCACATAGGGTCAAACAATAAAGTGAAGAAGAAAAAAATATATATATATTAAAAAAAAAAAACCAAACCAGTTTGACACCATTTATAAGAAAAAAAAATAATTTGGTCGCATCTTCTTTTAGATAGTTGACGACATGATGTGATGAGGCAGCATCGTTGTATGTAACCACTTCATACCTTCAGTACACCAAGACACACGAAAACAAAATAAAATAAAAAAAATAAAGTAAGAGAATAATAATAGTTATTTTTCTGATAGAGAATCTATTCGCCATAACGTCTTTCGAGGTGCACGCATACCGTTGAATACAGTGTGGCGCCCAGTGGAATTTGGTATTGAAAAAGTAACACTGGGAGTTGGAATAACAACAACACCACCAGCAGTAGTAGTAGCAGCAGCAGGACTATTCTCCTTTTCGGGTGTTGTCACGTTATTAACAGCAGCTGCACAAGAAACATCTGATCGTACTTCTAAATGATTATCATTGAAAGTGATAGTTTTTCTTCTTCGCTCCTTTGAAGGGAGAGAAATCCGATTATTATCATTGGCGCTATCCATTGATGATCTCACTGTCTCATATCCTGCCGCAGATGTCTCTTCTCGTCGGAAACGAACAGTAAAGGAACGGGCGGCACCGTTATTATCATTATTGTTATTATTATTATTATTATTATTATTATTATCACAGCATTCAATAGGTGAACTCTGCTCATGAACCACTATAGAAGAGCGCTGCCGCATCTGCATATATCGTTGTTGTTGTTGTTGTTGTTGAGTTGCCATTTCAATCTTTTTCCTCAAACTTTGTACGGCATCACGAAGCTTCACGGGTGCCAACGGCTCCTGTGATTCCTGCGGGGCCACACTCTGCACTGCTGCTGCTGCGTGAATAGGCAGATCAGACTTCATAACGGTATCGGCAACTTCTGTGAGTTCTTTCTTGGTCTTTTGCAGGATCTCCATAACTCCCGCGTGACGTATTTTCTGTTCCTCAAGAGAGAGACGTTTTGCAGATATATCTTCATTCACCTTTTCCTGCTGTTGGGATAACCTGCAGATTTCTTCGCGTGTTTTCATAACATCACTTTCAGAGTTGGCAATGCAAAGACGCAACGATTTAATTTCCTCCGCGTCTTTGTTCGCTTGTGTTTGAACAGCACATAGAAGATTATAAATGTTCTCAGCGGAATCGCCCGATGGGGCAACAGAGGGACCGCCGTGCATGCAGCGTTTATCCCAACAATAACAAGACCAAGAAAGAAAGAGAGTACCAAGTAAAAAGAAAAAAAAAAGACTACAGAGAGTCACTCTCTCTCTTTTTCTTTCTTTTATAGACCAAAAGAAAACAAGAAAAAGAAAAAGAAAGAAAAATGGTAATAGCAACCCCGTAACAAAAAATAAAAAAAACATGAGAGGATACATAAAACCAACGAAAAGAAAAAAAAAACATTCTATGGGAGAAAAAGAGATAGTCTATTCATCATAACGTTAGAATTTGACAATAATAACAAAAAAAAAAAAGCAAAAGAGTGGTAAAAGTTTCGATAAATAAATAAATAAATGCATTTTACTTCAGTAATATAGATCATTTAGAGACAAAAGCAAGGGAATCACACCTTTTATGTAATATAGAAGGTCCATTTTCTTCATACTCTTGCTTTGTTATCCACTCTGAAGAGAATGAGGTTAGGCTACCAAGAATAGCAGCACCTATCCAAACGCTAAACTTACGCTCATTCGCGGCAACGACATGCACATCCTCTGCTGCACGTTTATTCACTAATTCTTTAAGTTCGTTTTCAAGGCGCTGCTGCATTCCTCCAAACATTGTATTACCACCGGAAAGAACAACGTTATTAAGAAGTCGACGCCGCAAATCAATTGGACAGGCCTCCACAGAATCTACAATAGTGCGTTGAATACTCTCATAAGGTTTTTCCGCTATAGCTGGAGTGAAGAGAATCTCCGGACAACAAAAACGTGAACGCGTGATCTTAATAGTTTCCCCATCTGGCAATGTAAAGGACTCTGCTGTGGTTGATGTTTCCTGTGCCTCTGCCTTCTCCAGTTCCTCTTCAAAGGACTGGGCGACGTAGCACAGCCGCTCCTTCACCATTCGTGCCACCTCGCGGTCTGCGGATGTTGTGAAGGGCCGCTGCAGTTCATCACTCAGCAGTTCCATCATCCACTCCGTCACCTCGCGGCCGGCGAGTTCGAGGCGGCGCACCGCCGGCGTCACGGCGTGTCCCTCGACGATCGGCACAACGTGCGTGACGCCGTCGCCGCTGTCGAGCACAAGTCCGTCGGTGCGCCCGGCCGCGTAGAGGGCGAGAACGGCTTGAATTTGCACCTGCAGCGCGGGCACGGCGAAGTGTTCAAAGAGCACGGCTGCCATCTGCTCGCGGTGCTGCGTGGGATTGTGCGGGGCCTCCGTGAGCAGGACGGCCTGCGCGGCGGGATCGGCCCGCAGTGCGTCGTAGGCGTGCGTCCACACCCGCGCCATCGCGTCCCAGTCGCTCACGATGCCGTGCGCCATTGGATGTGAGTAGCGCAGGCCTCTTTCTGTGTGGGTGTGGGCCAAGGCGTCGTCGCCGACGTACACCGGCGTGGGGCCCTGGCGTTGTTTGGGGGTGGCAATGATGTTGGGAAAGACAAAGCGGGGAACCTCCTCGCCGGCGAAGCCGCACTTGATGTTGCCACTGCCGTTGTCAAGAATCACCGCAGGCTCCTCATCCCACGGCGCGGAGTTCATTTTATGAAAAGAGATGGAAAGAGAATTGGGATATAACAGCAGCCTTCTTTTTTTTTTTTTTGATGTGTGGTGCCTTTGTTCTTCTTCTCTACGACTATTACTGGTGTATTTTTATTTTTATTGATGTTCACATACATTGAAATAAATAAATAAATAATACAAATTGAAGGAATATATTATTATTATTAATTAATATTATTATTAATATAGTCAGCCTTCCAGTTCGTAAAGAAAACAAAAACAGAAAGAGCCACTCTCAATCACTATATATATATATAATGTATGTTCACTCATTTTACCAACGGACTCCATCTTGACGTACTTTTTTTTTCCATTTTTAGCCACTTACTCCGCGGTCACACTCACTTATCTTTTCATTCTATTCCCCTTCTATGAGATCTGTCATTTTCTATGAACAAGGATAGCGCCAAACATCCTCCAGTACACAACGTGATACTTGATGACAGGCAGCAAAAGCATCGCCACTAGACAACGATCCGTGTCGTTTCTGTAGTAACGCAGTAACATCTTCCTCATGCTCCATTTGATCACCTTCCATTAGTAACATTTCTTGAACGACTGCCTCAGTGGAAGAACTTTTAATTTTTTGCAAACTCAAGGCGTAAAAAGCAGTCATGGTCCTTAACTCCTTTACGGTATCGGAGTCCATAAAACTCTCCGCTTCATCTCCATCAATAAGAAGAGAGAATGGAAAAACAGTTGATTGAGAAGTAAACGCCGGTGTATCATCATCAGTGTAAACCTCATATTTATTTTTTCTTCGATGGAAAAGATGACCACCTTTTTCTCTCATCTCATAATGTAATGAGATACGTGGACCACCTCCAACGGAGGAAAGTCCTCGAAGAAGTCTTGTTGGATCAGGCTCTGGAGTATTACTACCAGTGTTGTAGTTATTCTCATACTTGTAGGGATCGTCATTATGATTATCTTTTTTCTTCTTCTTCTTTCCCTCCGCAAAGAAGGTATTACGCCAACAGTGTTGAAACCAACTAACCGCATAACGTCGTATTTCTCCTTCATTTTCTGCAATAGCAACAGTATTTGAATCAGAAGCCGTAGGCGATATCATTGAAAAAAGTGCATAGAGACCCAATTCACGACCTTCTGTGCATATACTTGCCTCTGCCTTCACAATATGACTGGCAGCCACACACCAAGCAAGATCTAATGGAAGATCCACTGTGTCTGTATACCATACAAATGGACGAGATGCAACTGAAGAAGATTTACTCCTTCCACAATGAGAAAAAAGTGAAAAATAATTACAACGCTCTCGTGATTTAGGAGGTACGGTATTATTATTATTATTATTATTATTATTATTATTATTAATATTGGGTACTTCATCCATTCCAAATAAGGTATCTCGTGTGGCTTCTTCTTCTACTTTACGCATTTCATATAAAATTCGATAAAACCATGGTGTTGGATGTACAGATGCCATACAAAGTAACATGTGTGGGGCGAAGGAAACCACAGTTTCATGCAATTCCCCATCAAGATCAGTATCTTCTAATGGACTCTTCATCTTTTCAGTTACACCAATCGTTACAGTCGTCCTTGGGGTTATAAGATGTTTCTCTATAAACTGTCGTAGTGTGGCGGCACCCCATAATGCCCCTTCATTCGCATCACCAGAGTAAAAAAAACCAAATACACATGATACGGCACTTCCAATAGAGAGAAAAAGTATATTTAACAATGTACCACTTCTCTTACATTTTAGCATTAGATCATGTATATGTACTAGAGAAGTTTGTACCCGTGGTCCTTGTCGTTCTTCTACAGACCAGCGACACAATTGATCTATTGCTAAACCCGATATAAATAAACGATCACGGTGATCTGTGAGACGAAAAAAAGATGGCGAAGCAAAAAGAATACCACTTGTAGAAAAAGTGGCAATAAATGGTGGTTTATCAAAACCCGTACTCCATATCTCTCGCAACTGTTTATGATTACCATTCCCTATATCATAAGCTGCAGCAAGTGTACGGTTCACAACATCTAATAAACACTTACATGCACATGTGGAAGATACCGCAAGAGATTGAATATCTTTTGGACTTGAATGTACAGCATCTGCAACACTTGAAGTACATCCATAAGACTTTGTTGTACTTTGCACCCGACAGTGCAATAAACTAACGGGCACAACATCTTGAGCTACAAAGTAAAGTAGTGCCTTACGTCGTGCAAAGGCCGCACGTAGGGCTTTCAAAGACTTTTTATTATCTCTGCATGTTATTCCATCCTTTTCACGCCAATCACCTATACGCCGCTGTTCACCGTTTGTATTTCTTTTCCCTGTTGGTAGTCCATCATACTCAACCACCACTTCATCCTGTGCTATTGTTGTTGACGATGATGATATAATAGAAGTAGCGGAAGTGGAATAAACCAGAGAAGAGAGATAAGGGAATGAAGATGTACACAGTGTATCAAATAGGAGACGAACCCCGTTATTATTTGTACGCATGACCGCCTCAAAGGCACAATCGAGAAGAACCTCCAACTCCGCCTGCGAAACTTCTGTTCCCCCAACCGCAATCGTCACTTCACCCAATTTACCTCCAAGGGATTGTCGTTGCAATAACACCAGAATCTCTTCTGTACAGCCAAGACTACTATTCTTCTCATTATTGTTGTTGTTATCACTACTACTATTACAATCCGTTGTTCCCATTGAGTCACGAAAACAGTGAAAAGTTCGTGCATGAATTGGATGATCAAAGAATTTATCAATGCCTTCCATGCGTGGCGGCGGACTAAATGACGGCGCCATGATGCGCAACCCACTCGTCGCCTCGAGTCGAATCCATTTCATTCTTTTCTCTTTGTTTCTCTATCTATCTATCTCTATCTCCTCCTTAAGAGAAGTTGTGAGACAAGACCACACATACACATAAAACATCAGAAATAAAAATACGAAAAAGAAAAGAAAAAATAATAATGTGAACATGTGTATCATAAGAAATGACAAGAACCTCTTTCTTTGCTGTCATTAGGTAAAGCTATTCTTTTCCTTTTTTTTTTTTCTTTTCAAAGCCTCCCTTTTCCCCATCACCCAGCCCACACCACTATTTCTTCATTTTCTAGGTGTTTCCTCGAATAGACAGTACAATAAAAATATCATTTCCGTTTAAACCAATATACATATAGACACGGTACAATGAGTACAACACAACGTGCAAGAGCAAAAAAAACAAAAAACAGATGTTTGATTTGTTTTACTTTCTACATTCATACACACAGCCCCAGCTCTTTCAAACGTTTTCCCATTCTATGTTTTTTCTCCCCTCAAAAAGAAAAAAAAAAAGAAAACAAACTCTTCGTGATGTACAATTACTGCCTTTTCTCCCTACTCAGACATTCTATCCTTTCTAGTTAAGAACCGAGTTTCGAAAATAAAATGAAAAAAGGACCTTCACACCTTCTATTTCCCACCGATACATGTACTTTTTTTTTGTTTTCATTTTTTCTCACCAAGCTACCCATACAGAGACAAATTATATATATATATATATATATATAATAATTTGTTTAAAGGTTGTACAGTTTTTGTGTCAGTCGCTTAGTTTAGTAGATAAAAGGAATCAAACGATACTGTACAATACCGCAGAACTTCCTCCAATCCGCCTCTCCATACTTCTCCTCCATTTGCCGCTCATCCCGCAGTTGTCGGTGCATCAGCAGAGCCGCGAAGTACACCGGCTGATAATACGGCAACAGTGCTGTAGTGCCTGTGAGGGCAGACCATGCAAGTGTCATGAGCCAATCCCCCACGTAGTTTGGATGTCGGCAAACACCCCAATAACCAGAGATGAGGAGTGATTTGCCGCGGGATGTGCGCAGGACTTTAAGATGCGCCACTGAAGGATCACGGGGATTTTGGCGGAATTTATTCTTTTGACTGTTTGAACCACGAAAGATAATATAACCAGTGAGAGCAAGAAGACAACAACAGGCTACGTAGGTGGGACTTAAATTCAGAGGATGATAGGCGAGGAATTTTGTTTTGAGTGTGTATGTAAAGGGAACCCAAGAGAGATCACCAAAGCAGAGCATAAATCCAAATCCATCATGTACAATATCCATCATTGTTAAGTTCCCCGCTTCTAACAAAAGTCCATCAAACACATATAAGGACTCCAACACTGCAATGATAAGAATACTTGGGGTGTATGTACCTGTTTCCATGGACTTCACTACAAAGGCCCAATTTAATAAACTCCATCCAATAAGACCAGGGCGTAATTCACACATAAATTTCCAATCCAGTGAAAAGGTACGTGGATTAAGTTCACGACCAATCCAGAAATCATACACGGGATTTCCAGTATTTCCACCAGTCGATAAAAGTACAGAGGCGGAGCGGAACGATGCCAGGTAGAGTATAATACTCATCACAGCCGAGATAATAATGGAGGCAATCATAAGTGGAACAAACATATCTGCTATCACTGCCAAGTGAATAAGACCATGATAGTGTAAAGCACCTATAACGGCATGTATAAGAATAAATACATAAACCGCATTGATATTATACACAAGAGTTTCTCCATTTCTTAGCTTCATCCCTTCAACCCGTTTTCCAATAGGAAGAACGTACAAGACTGCATGTAGGAACAACCATGCCACTTCAATCCCAAGCGCCAGAGGAAGTTGAGGAATAGATGCCATGATAGTATTATACAAAAGATCAGGAAGCTCATACACTCCTTCAACAGAACACATACTTTCCGAACACAATGTATTCAATACAAGTACAATTGCCGGAAGAAAGAACACCATACCAAATGCCCCAACAGGTCCACCCCACTCATATTCCATTGTTCGAGGATTAAGCGGTTTTGTTCGCCGCTGCCTCGGTGGTGGAGTTTCGCTACGTTTACGGGAGGCGGAACGGCGCCGCGACCTTGAACGTGCAGGCGTGCGACTTCGTGTTTTTCTCGGCATTCGTTGATATTAACTTTCTTCTTATGATTATTTGCGTTCTCTTTGTTCTTCTTGTTGCTTTTGGCTTATTCCCTTTTTCTTTGACTGTGTATGTATGTATGTGTGTGTGTGTGTATTTAATGATATAATGGGATTTTGGTCTCTCTTCAGTAACTGAGAGCAGCACCACCCCGCAGACTCTTCTTTTCAATCGTATCCCTCTACACAGAGATCCAATTAAGGAAAAAGAAATAAATATGAAAAGAAATTGATTTAATATGAGCACACTTAAAGAAAAAAAAAAAAAGAGAGAGAGAGAAATTGGTCGTTAATATACCATCTAGAGTAATCTTTCACTCTCACTCTGTATTTCTCTCGTTACTTCACAGAAATCCAAGAATAACAACAACAACATCAACACTTTATACACAATCCATCATCACAAACAATACTGTCATTCTTATGATTTCTGCTTCTGTACAGAATCCTTATCTAAATCATCCGTCACAACTACCGCAAGTCCCACAACAACGAGTAAAGCCCCTATCGCCCACATGATGGTAACTTCCTCATGGAAGATCAAAAGACCCAGAAAGGCACTTATCGCAAAATTCATTCCCGTATTGACAATTTGACACACCGGTGTAGGACCACAGGAAAGTGCTTTCAAATACCATCTCCACATTTGTGCTGTAAAAAAGGCATTCGCCGCAAATAACAATCCACGCGTTACTAATAATGACATTGGCATTACAGAGACCCAGTGACTATGAGTGATCTCTTGCACACCAAAGAAGGAAAGAATAGTTGTGGTGAATGCTGTCAATGCGTCTCCGCTGTCGTCCATCACGGCGAGTTTACCAACAACGGCGGAAAGTGCTCCAAAGGTACCAGCCAGTGAGGCGTAGAAGAAAAAGATACGATCTGTTCTTGTGGATATTAACTTCTGCTTCTCCGCAGGAACATGGCTTTCTTGATCATTCGTCAGTGTTGATTTCACACTGCCTGTTGATGTGTTTGCATTTCTTTTCTTCATTAATATTCCTATCCACGATCATAAATGTGCAAAGAAGAAAGAAAGAAAGAAAGAAAGAAAGAAAGAAA